GAAAGTTCGTCACTTTGGTCACTTAAAACTTCCGAACCACTTTCGAATTTGAAAAAAAAATTACTGTGGTTCAGAATCATTTAAAGGGTGCACAGTTATATTAAGGAGTCTTAAGTCTCTGTAGTTTTATTTCCAAGTTTTTTAAATATTAGTTTGGTTTAGATTTAAACTTGGGAAAGTCCGTCTTCTAAGACGCAATTGTAAACAAGTGAGGATTCCGTTCACAAACAGTGCACACTATTTCCACAATGACTTGACGATCGATTCTTTTGAGTCCGTTCATCGAACGGGTACCCAGCTAGTATTATAATATTAACGCATTGTCTTTCCACAGATAAAAAAGCCCAGGACATGACCAGGAGCCCAGAACCGGGAATGGCGCAGCAGCTGTCGCCCGACAGACCAGAGGGAAGCGCGACAGGTTTCTGCGCCTTCCGGCCCTGGCTCCAGGGTTCTCCGGCCGCCACCACGGACACCAAACCAGGTGAACATCCTTAGCTGTTGTAGTCATGGGGGAGGGGGGAGAAAAGCTGTTATAGAAGAAGAAGAAGAAGAAGAAGAAGAAGAAAAAGGAGAAGGAGAAGGAGGAGAAGGAGGGGGGAGGGGCAGGATGAGAAGACATAATATAGTTGCTTGTATATAGCAAATATCCATGCGTTGCAGTATGATCGTCGGGCTTTTATAAATGTCTTGTCTGCGTATCGTTTGTTTTTTTACAGTACGTTTTACGACATTATGGAAACAAAGGTCTTGTGTGTAAATTAAGAAGAGAGGAAGAGAGTGTGGGGTGAAACAGGGGTGAAGAATTTCATTGAGTATAGGTTTTGGGATTTCAAGTCTGAATGTTTGAAGAAAGAAATTGGCAAGTGGATGGCGGGTGCTCTTGTGTGGTTTGTTCTTTCTTATGAAACACATATCGTCTTTATCTCTCCTTCTTTTCTGTGTTTATTACTCTCTCGTAACACCTAGTCTTTGACAATGATATGACTTTATTACAAGTCCTGTAAAACTCTTATTAAAACAAACCTAAAAGAAAGAAAAAAATCTGTAAATTCACTTTCTATTTATGAAAATTCTAGAGCCTTATCGAAGGCCAAGAAAGGTGACGTTAAGACCCGAGACCTTTGTCCATATCTCGTGTAACAGATTAAAAGATAAAGTTTGCTCAATTGATTAACAAGACCACCCTCCTCCCCCAACCCCCTCGTCCCCTATAATCACAGAAGAAAACAGGAGTTGCAGTCCATCATCTACGACTCCGGCATCGCCAGAGGAAACTCCGCCCTCCAGAACTCCTCCTGCTAAACGATTGGTTGAGAGTCCAGAACGCGCGGAGACCCCACCCATGAAGAAAAAAGCGTACAGTCCAGACATAAAACATGATAGCAATGTAATTATTGATAATGCCTCAGCTAAAATGCACCATGGGCTTTTGATTGACACTCCCCATCCACAATTTTCTCCTTATGTTCTGAGCGCGCTTAGTATGCTCCGCCCACACGCAAACCCGGAAATTCTGCTCCACCCTAGCCAAGACATATGGGCGGGGATGCAGTTCCAGGGAGGTATTATACCGTTGGACAAGAATAAAATCCAAATGCCACCTTTCTGGGGTGTTGCACCAGGTCCTCAGGCTTTTTTTCCTGATCATATCTTCGGCAAGTCAGCATCTTTACTGCAACATCACATTCAACTGCAACAGCACCACCAACGCCAGCTGCAACAACAGTTTCAACAGCAGCAGCAGCAGCAACAACAGCAGCACCAAGCAGCGCTTGAAAAAGCTGCTCGACACCAACCAGACCTACCCACCCCTCACCTTCGACCTCCCACATTCGCAGCCAGAGCCCCACACCATCCACATAATATTTTACTCCCCAACCCGAGTCCTCTATCCCACCTTCAGCAAGCTCTCCCAGCCCCTAACAACCCAATTTCTATTGCCCAACAAACCCTGCATCCACCTCTAGCACCTCCCCTTGCTCCAGGTCCCGCCCCTCTTTCAAACCACGCCCACCACAACCCTACCTTCGAGCAGAAGGGTTGTTTCGAGTGTGTCAAATGCTCCAAGCAGTTCAGCACTCCGCACGGTTTAGAGGTGCACGTGCGTCGCACTCACTCTGGCCGGCGGCCGTACGCCTGTGACATCTGCAATAAGACGTTCGGACACGCTGTCAGTCTGACGCAACACCGGTCAGTGCATACGCAGGAGAGGTCTTTTCAGGTGAGTGAGTCTCTCTCTCTCTGTCTCTCTGTCTCTCTGTCTCTCTC